TTTTTTTTGGTGTATGCATAATGTCAAATTGAATGAGATGAATGAATCTAATTAAACTAATTTTGAATTTTTTGTTTGTTTTGTTTGAAGAGATTCCATATGTACCTCGATATGTAATTTAGGAACAATGAATGTTGATGATGATTGTTGTTGATGAGAATTTTCCCGGAAAGATTGTTCTTGTTCAATGTTGGATTTTTCTTCAAATTCCTGACAATGTATTATATCCGATTTGGTTAATGTTTTTCCATTCTGATAGGTAAGACGTTTCGGTTGTTTCTTTTTCAGCAATGTTTCAGCAGTTTTTTGTGAATTTAAATCAACAAGTGATGATATACGTTTTAAACAGGAAAATTTTCGAAATAACGAATGTAAATCATTTGTGGTTGAACTTAGACATTTAGAAAATTGTCGTAATTTTCCTGATTTTGCGGATGATTGCTGTTGTTCTTTATCATTATTCACAAATGCTGTTGATGGCAATTTATCTGCAATAAAATCTTCTTCAAATATTTGCCGGGGAAATTTCCGATGATGATCATCATCTGATTCAGAATAAATTGATGATGATTGTGATTGTGAAGAATATTCTACAGAATCATTTGAATTACAACGAACTAAACTGGCAAATGTTTGACTACGATAATGTTCATAACGAAATGTAATCACATCATCATCATTCTGATCTTGATCCACTAACACTTTAGATTTACATTGATCATCACATTTATTATCATTTGAATCTTCATAGGAAACAAAATTATAATTTAAATTTATTTCAATTTGTTGTTGTTGTTGATCATTATTTGATGAAGAATCTAATTGTTGATCAAATTGATTAGAATCATTTTGATTCATTTCGTTTTTGAAAAAATCTTTTCCTGAAGCAAAATTATTATCATTCAATAACTAACTGATGATGATGATAGTCGAAACAATCGATTTGAAGTGCAAAAGATCAATGAGGACATTTATTTTCTTCTTCTTGAATAGAATCACAGTGGTAGAACAACTGAATGGAATCAAACAAAACAAAACTTGTCATTTATACCAATCATCCTCGTGATGATGATGATGAACTTTTTCGATTTTTTGTTGTTGTTGTTGTTGTTAAACAGTGTGATCATCATCATCATTATCGAATAGAAATTCTTTGTCATTCTTTATGAACAAATCGATCATTTTGTTGTTGTTATTATTTGATTGACAACAACAACAACAACAACAAAAAATGATGATGCCTGTTATCATGTGTTTGTTGTTGTTGTGATAGATTTTTGTCGTTTTTTTTAAAGATCAAAATAAATTCATGTTTGAATGATAATACCGTTTAACAAACCAAACGAAACAAAAGCTAAAAACAAACAAGCGATATTGTCATAACATAGCATACTTTTCATTTTAATGGATCGAAAATGAATAAAGATCAATCAATCAATCCTATCGATAATGATGATGATGATAATGTATTTTTTTTTATTCTCATTAATGTCAAATGTTTCAAACCACTAAAGCCTAATTGTTTCTGTTTTTCTGTTTGTTTTGTTTTGTTTTAATTCATTCGAATAAAAAAGCTAACTAGGTATCCATATACAATTGATTACATGATTAACAAACAAAACAATAATCATAGCCTGGCACACACATATAATGAAAATGAAAAACTATAGAAACAAAAAAGTGAAAGCAACGGATTGAGGAATTATTATTATGCGATGCTTGTGAAGCGGAATTTACTGGACATACAAAAAAAGAAAGATAAAATGAATAGAGAAAGAGAGAAAAACAAAAAATGAATTTCTGAAACAAGGAAAGCGAAAAGAAAGTGAACAAAAATTATTATTATTATTACTTACCTACCAGTGATTTATTTTCGTTTGTTTGTTTTTGAGAATTATATTGCCAAAAAAAAAGAAGAGACTAGATGAATTTCAAACAAAACTTTTTTCAACAAAAAAAATTTGTTTTATATTCAAATCATTCGATTGATGATGTACAGTTTATCAGTAGCAGAAGAAGCAGAAGAAAATCAATCGATCTTGAAAATGAATTGAGGATGCTTTTTTTTTGACTATCACTTCGATGATGAAGAAATATTATTGTGAGTAGCATTTATGGGAAAAAAAAACACCAACAAAAATGAAGATTTGCAATGGAAATATCATTCAACAACAACAACAACAATGATAATGATGATGATAAAGATGATGTGACATTAATTGGTCTTTTTTTGTAAATGGTAGATAGATTTTGTTGCTGTTCGTTCGTTTTGTTCGTTCGTTTTAGTATCGTCATTCATTCATTCATTAGTATCGTCGTTTGGTTTTCATTTTCATACAAATATATCAATTGCAATATTGAGCTTTGTTCGACTATCATCAAACATCATCACTTCACTATCATCACTATCATTGAATAATTATTACTTCTTTCTCTTTTTTCCATCAATAAGGATATTATGTATAATGATGATAATAATGTTTGCAATAACAACAATGAATCAGACTTTCAGTCAGTCAGTCATTCAGTCAGTGGACATCATTGATGGATTCATTCATTCATTCATTCATTCATTCAATCATTTAGCCATGAATTTTGAATGTTGTTTTTCCAGTTCCTCAATTGTGTTATATGTTGATGGCGTGATGATAATAATGATGATGTTTGAAATAACACAAAGATGGGTATAGGTTGCTAATACTGTTGTGGTTGCTTCTACTCACCCGAATTTGGGTGGATTTTTTGTTTTGCTCCCTTACTGAATCAAAATGAATCAAACCCGATAATAACAATACAATGAATGAATGAATGAATGAACAACGTCGTCGCCGTATTTGGAATAGAGAATGATTCAGCAGATTCTATAGTGGTTTGGGAAAACAAAACTGACAGTGTCATAGTGGAACGAGAATTTTTCACACATATAATATAAGTCGGGGACTAGTCTATTTTCCAAAATACGGTAAATTGACGGATGGCATAGTGGTGTGTATCCCAACAACTGTTTGGTATATTTCAACGAAAACAAACAAACAAAAAAAACGTGCCATAAACAACAACAACAACAACATTGATGAAATGAAAGTATCACGGATACACCATTTTTTGTTTTGATTTGTTTTTTGACTTATTTTTTTCAATGAAAATTGAAAAAAGAAAGGTATATTTTTACGGATGATAACAATAACAAAAAAATATTGTTTTTTCTGGTAGACGTAAAACACAAACAAACAAATAAATTCAATGAATGTATGAATGTCAAATACTTTTGGATTGTCTGAAGAAAAAAAGGTTTAGCTTCACTTTTCACAACCAACAATACTTTTATTCATTCAATCAATTCAATTCAATCAATATGGAAGCAAACAAAACAAAACAAAACAGCAGCAGGTATTCATTTTTCTTTTGAAATTTACCTGTTGAATGAAAAATTCGAAGGTAATAAACACAAGCTACACAGGTCTGTTTGTGTTTTGTTTTTTTTCGTGCTANTGCTTCTACTCACCCGAATTTGGGTGGATTTTTTGTTTTGTTTTCGCTCCCTTACTGAATCAAAATGAATCAAACCCGATAATACAAAATACAATGAATGAATGAATGAATGAACAACGTCGTCGTCGCCGTATTTGGAATAGAGAATGATTCAGCAGATTCTATAGTGGTTTGGAAAAACAAAGCTAACAGTGTCATAGTGGAACGAGAATTTTTTGCACACATATATAAAAGTCAGGGACTAGTCTATTTTCCAAAATACGGTAAATTGGCGGATGGCATAGTGGTGTATTCCAAACAACTGTTTGGTATATATTTCAACGAAAAACAAACAAACAAAAAACGTGCCATGAACAACAACAACAACAACAATGATGATGATGATATGGAAATGAAAGTATCATCCATGGATACACCAATTTTTCTTTCGATTTTTGGTTAATTTCTTTTTAAATGAAAATTGAAAACAGAAAGAAAGGTATATTTTTACGAATAATATCGAAATGGAAATATTGCTTTTGCAAATTCAATGAATGAATGAATGTGAAATACTCTTGGATTGTGATTTGTTTGAAGAAGAAAGAAGAAAAAAAAGGTTTAGCTTTTCACAACCAACAACAACAACTTTTCACAACCAACAACACTTTTATTCATTCATTCAATCAATATGGAAGCAAACAAAACAAAACAAAACATAAACAGGCCTGTGTAGTTTGTGTTTATTACCTTCGAATTTTTTTTTGTTAATTCAACAGGTAAATTTCAAAAGAAAAATGAATACCTGCTGTTGTTTTGTTTTTTATGTGTGCTAAACCACTATTATTGTTGTTTTTTCGTTGCTCACCTGGCCGATTGAAATATTATTGTTATTTGGATATACAAGGTTGTGTGATACCTGTGATGATTGATACAGGTAATCAGGTAATCAAAGAATTTAATCCAGAAAAAAATATAATCAAATCAAATCCAAACACAAAGAAAATGTAAATTAAAAAGGATGCAAAATTCCTGGAGGTAGCTGGGCGTAGGAAAGGGAGTAATTGAGTGTTAATCAAAATTTTAAAATAAAAGAGAATCGTTGGTGGGTGTATTAAAAATTCCGGTCTGTCTGTCGTCTGTTAAATTCCTTTTCTTCATTCTGGAGTTTTTTTGTTTTTGGAAAAAAAAGAATTTTTTTTTTAAATTCCTAAAAGTTTTTTTCTTTTATTTTTTTAAAATTTTTTTGTTTGTTTGTTCATTTCTTATTCTGTTGCATTTATTATATGTTTTTTCGAGTATTTTTTTTCTGTTTGTCATCAGTGTCAATTCAGTGTTAATGTTATCAGTGTGTGGGTCAGTAAAACAAGTGTCTTGGTTGGTCATCCAAATCGAAAAAAAAGCAAAAGTTTCGTCAAAGATTTTTTTTTTAGTGAAAATCCATCAAATTAATTAAATAAAATCATGCTATTCATGCAACATAGAGAGAGAAAGGGAGGAAAATCGTGCCAAAAAGAAAAAAAAATGATAAAAAGAAAAACAAACGAAAGAAAGAAAGAAAATAATTTGCTTGTGATCAATAATCAATCAATAATTTCAATTACTGATGTTGGGTAGGCGATTTGTATGATGTATTTGATTTTCTGTTGTTGTTGTTGTTTGAATTTCTCCTAAAGGTAAATGTAAACATTGGTAAGTGTGTGTTTGTGTTTGGTGTTTGTAGGTGTGTACGGTGTTAATGGTAAATTTTTTTTTTTCAGTTAATTTTGGTAACAATTTTTTTTTCTTCTTCATTTTTCTTTTTTAAAATAATTATAATTATAATAATAATATCAATAATAATAATTAATAATATAATCTGTAATTTGATAAAATCTTCTTTGTAATTTCTTTTTTTTTTACTGCATTGATGATGGATCCATTTTTTTAAAAATCGGCAAATAATAATGATTGAGAATAAAAAAATCGGCAAATCAATCAATCAATGATGGTGATGATGATGATGATTTCTGATAAAAAATAAAATCTTATTTAGCCGATGTTGATGATGATGATGTTGCTGATGTTGTTGTTGTTGCTGCTGCTGTATTACCATTATTACGTGATGAAGATGATGATTCTTGTTGTTGTTGTTGAGATTTACTTGATGATTTGGTACCCGTAGTTGTTGCTGTTGTTTTTTCGGAAGCGGAAATACCACTTTCATCGCCACCACCACCACCACCACCTGATGAAGATGTGGCTGTTGTTGTTGTTGTATTGGCAGCACTAGTACTACTATTATTTGGATTCATTTTATCAACATAATCAGCAAATATGTCACGAAAACGTGCCCATGATCGTTCAGGTATAGTAATCGATGATCGTGTACTACTTTTTACCTATTAGTTTAAATTTTAAAATCATCAGATTTTTTTCAAAAATTTTGACAATTTTATACCTCAGATATACGCATAAAAACACCAATCTTATTTTGTCCAATGTCAAAATAGAATTTTTTATTTTCAACACGAAAATTCGTTCCTTCCGGCAATGTATCTCGAAATCCTATTTCAAAAGAAACCGTTTAGTATTCATTATTAATCAATCAATCAATCAATTAATTAATTAACCTCCTTCTTCGGTGCCAAATTCATCAAGTAGATCGGTAAGGGCATCACGAAATTCAATCATTCCTTGTGCTGGAATAGCAATTTGTGTTCGTGTTCCACCATGTGTAAATGATTGTGAAACCTGGAGTGAAAAGTTAAACAAAATGTCAAAAAAAAA